CTCTGAGAAGTAATGTAAAAAGCAAAATAAATTCTTAATTAAATTGTTCTAGAATTATACAATCATGCAAGCCATTCATGGCCCTACACAACACAGCTAACACACAATAGCAAACCTGAACAGTTTCTATTATTTGTATCCAAAGTATATCCATTATCACACAAACAAGAATAATTTCCAATAGTATTGACACAAATATGGTCACAATCATTGTAGTCAGTGCATTCGTCAATATCTAATTAATGAAACAACTGTAAATGTTTAACCTGAACAATTATATTCTACAGACTACTACATTCAAAACACAAATCATAATTATTGCTTAAATTTTTATAAAAATTAACAATATATTAGCTTGCAAATATCATATTTGGTTCATAGCAAACCTGAACAATTTCTGTTATTTGTATCTAAACTGTAACCATCATGGCACAAGCACGAATAACTTCCAATTGTATTAACACAAATATGTTCACAATCATTATCAGCACATTCATCAATATCTATACAATTAATTAGGTAACCATATTATAATAACTTGGTTGCATTATACCTGAACAATTATATCCATTGAGATCCAAACTAAAGCCAGGATGGCAACTACATGCATAGCTTTCAAAAGTGCTAGTGCAAAGCTGGTCACAACCACCATTATTGCTTAAGCAAGGATCTAATAATGGTACATTTTCTATGCCATTTCCTGTTAGATTTATTCCAGCACTATAAGAATAACCATGATGGTTACCAAAGCCATATACTAGTGCAGTGAAACCTGTCTCCATTGAAATAGTATAAGAAGATAAGGTGGAGATTGTGTTGAATGGAATTTGTGTTCCATATCCAATAATACTGCTCATATTGTTATATATATTGTTCCAAGTTACCGATTGTAACTGGCCATTGATGTACAATGAACCTTTTGTAGTTGTGGCAATGTTAATATAATTGTTAATAATTGATGAAAACCCAGGAATGACCAATGTTATGTTCTGTTGATGCAGTTCTATTGGAGGAATAAGTGATATAACTGGATCACCATTACCACTGCCACCAGAGTCTTGACTTGGTCCTAACTGTGTCACCAGTACTGGTTTATTAGAAATAATCGAGCAATAACTGGAACTAGAATATAAAGTAGTGACGTCTCCTGCATTTTGTAAATAAAAGCTATTACTTCCATTAGCAGAACAAGTGAAATTTAAAGAAGTGTCTCCTAAAGCTGCTACAACTTTAAAGTAAGGGCCATCAGATCGTGTTGCATAAGGAGTCAAAAGGAATTCTCTGCCCCATATTATTGTTGGAAGTATCTGCTCAGCAATTTGTTGACAGCAACAAACAAGAGGAATGTTGCCACACTCATGGCCACTGATTACTGTCAGAGGCTTATCAGATACAATACTGGTTCCACTGATGTCAAGTAATGGGGCACCAATGAGAAACGTTTGCATTCTGTGAATGGTAAAATTGAACGATGAGCCTGCAGTAACTGTTTTACTGTTACTATTTGTCTGAATATCAATAGGAACTGAAACAGTTTGAGTAGGAATGACAGTGACAGTTGTGTTATCCTCATTTCCAACTAACAAAACTTCACTCAAAGCAGTACCAACAAGTGTCCCAGTAGATACAGCATAATATTGATATTCTGAAAGAGCCAAGTTCTGATATGGGTAGGCCATATAGTCTCCAAAAGAGCCAGTGCCTCTCACATTAACCACTAGTACAGAGATTAATCCTCCATTTGTTGAGTAAATATATACTCCTTTGAAACGACTGGAATAAAGGCCATCATTAGTAACAAGTGTTGTTGATAAACTAACAAAACAGGGACACTGCTGCTGACACTGTAACTACCAATAAATCCATTGGTGGTTTCAATTAAAAAAGAAACTGATGTGACAGAGGGAGTTGCGATATACAGAAGAAGGTAATTAGTTTCTCCTCTGTAGTTTCTCATGGCTCCAACATAAAAATCAGTGCCATAAGCAGCTGAAGCATTTTGAAGCAAAACTAGATATAACGTAACAAGTAAATAAAAAAAAATTATTGAAAATGGAAAAGTATTAGCTAGAATTGAAGTGGGAAAAAGCAAGGAAACAAGAGGGTATACTTGCAAACTGGTATAATATGCCATTATATGAAAGATAAAGCCTTTATGGTGGTATCATGTAACTAGTAGAGGAGGTTGTGTGAATAAATTCATGCATGCAATGGTGTAGGATTTCTTACCATACCAATTTACAAGTACCCTCTTGATACCTTCACTTCAATCCTACTACTTTCCATGTTTTTTTAATTTGACACAACTAGTATGAGTCAAGTTTTTAGTAAGTATTCTAATACCATCAAAAGGTATATGGTAACTTACAACAAAATAGCACGACAAGAAAGAGAGTATTCTTCATAGCCATCAATTTCCTAGGGCTCAATTCACTTCTGTCAATCCTTTTTTGGAAGTTTTAGACATCACTCATCACACCATATTCTATGATAAAATCACAAAGTGCTACACAAACTATTTTTACTATTATACTAGATCTAGATTATTCTAGATTATCAATAAACATTTAAAAAAGAAATTTAAGAATAAATTTCCACACAATATTATCATTCATTTAAATTAAATTAAGTTTACATTCATTGTATATATGTAAACAAGTGAGGCTAATAAAAATTAAGTAAAAGGTGTCAGAACAAGGCACCCAAGACATGCATTCATTGACATTTAAAAATAAATAGTAATTAATGTTGGCACCCAGAAAGTAAAAGTTTCATAACTTTAGATCTATTGTAGACATGTATCCAACAATTTTAAAAACAAGTTGTTGACAACACCTATAACCCATCTGTTGAGCTTTTCTTTAGCAGTTATTGTTACTTTGTATTAAACTAGCTGCTTCACTAAACTTGTAGTAGGGCTATGTAACAATTCCCATGTAGATATACTGCAAGTCACATCTAAATAACAGATCTAAAAAAGACTCAAAGCAGTTACCATACTCAGACTAACTTACACAACCATCAAACATAATGTTAAAACAGCAGATATAAAAAGGCCAATATAAGTAATAATAACTAAACAAATGAAAATTAAGGGGCGAGCCTAAGCTGGCAAAGCATTTATTATCATTATTACTATTTTTAACGACCTGGGGGCGAAGCCCCCAGGTCGTTCCTATAATTGATTTCACCGTCGCGCTAACTATATATATATATATATTTGTATGTCCACACTTACATTTCTTCTATACATGTTGTATTGGAGAAATAACAAGCCTTAGCAACCACCCGCCCACGCTCCTTTACGTAAGTGGGTGTGGCCACGGAAAACAAAATGGCGGCTTACACACGGGACAAAGTTATGAGCTTTCTAACAGCCAGAGAACATAGAGATACTGTCTAACAACTTCTCTAGAAGCAGTTGCAGGTAGAGAGAACCTCTATAAGTCTTAATGAGTGCCTAGCAATGCATGCAAGGTGGTGAAATCAATTATAGGAATTATTTTTACACTGTTACGCTTGTTAGTAGTATTAATATTATTATAAATCTTTACAGTGCATTAACAAAAAGGATACAAAACATATACAAGTTATACAGATTGGGGACTGACTGAACACTGGCAAGTTCTGCCAGTGACTGACAAACAAGTAAAAAAGAACAAAAATGGAAAGACAAAAACAATACAAACATTAAATTAACTTTCGATCTATAATAGCACTGGATCTATCTAGGCTGCATAGATATAATACACAGACCCCTTAATACACAAATCCTTGTCTTTATATCTATGTTATCTGGTCTGTGTATTATATCTATGTTATCTGTGATCTGGATA